GCTGCGACAAAAAAAAAATATAGCCAGCCAAAACAACAGCATAGCCGCTTTAGTGTAGATGCATGTTGATTTTATCAGACGATGCCGCAATTATAAATGAGTGACTCCTGGTTAACATGTATTAAAAGGGGTTGTATTTAGTCACTATTTAGTGTGGTATTTTTTGACAATATTCACTCATCATGACAGTAAAATAGGGCATTCTAAGTCAATATACTGCAGTATTTCCTCTCTCAATCAGTAGAAAATATGGTTAACACTCGGTCATGCATGAAAAAAAAAATATCGTCATGTACTGTGAAACCGGTATAATTTTGAAAAATACCGTGATATAAATTTTTGGTCATACTGCCCAGCACTAAGAGAACGCAAAATCATTGAAATATTTTCTCTTTTTTTTTTACTATCACCATATTACATGATAATTAAAAAAATAAATGTACTAATAAAAAATAATGAGAGAACACAAATGTTTTGCGAGAGAATACAAATGTTTTGCAAGCAAATGCAAAGTTTCTTAGGGAACAACATTTTTTGTGAAGGAATGCAGAAGTTTTGCATCTCATATATTTTTTCTATCATCGTGTCCCCTTAGGTGATCAGTAATGTACTTCATTTTAAAACACATCATTCAAATACTATTATAACAAACAGTAGTCAGTACACTGTGTGTAGCAGTACACTTGTATTCCGTTCTAAACATAGCCTTTGATAAACATCAGTTGGACTCAAAACAAATTGGAGAGATTGATTGGATTGTCTAATGTTGATTTAATGGTGATTGATTAAAGCTGTAGATACCATCATAAGATTCAAACGTTAATCTCATTCACACAGTGAACACAGGGTGGGCACACAGACATTTTTGTAGCCAAAGAATGAAAGTAACTAAATTGTTTATCTAAACTGAGAAGAAACAGACATGAATCTTCTGAAACGAGAGCTTCCAGGGCTGTTAAAGCGATACGTTATAGTTTGGACGTTTTCCAGCATTTCAACAGAGGTGATTTAAGGGCAGAATTAAAGTAGGGAACTAAAGCTTTTAGAAGTTAAATAAAAAAGGGCGAATTGGCTAGAGAGAATGATAACGTGTGTTTGAAATGAGAGAAAACTTTCAAAGCAGATAAAGACAGAGAGCGAGGAAAGGTCATGCGGGTTTAGATTTTAGATTTAGGATATTAGATTTTCGACAGTTCAAGGAGTTTAGGTGAATGACCCACGGCGGTGTTGATTCCCAAAGTGATTCCTGTAGTGCAGAGACCCGATTCCTTCCCCAAGAGTCACTCAGTCCTTCCGTGAAAAGTAGAGGAGGCTGGTGGAAACTGTCAGGCTCCGTTCAGAGCTAGTGGGGAGTAGCTCTAAGAGAAATCAGCCACCTTCCAAACAACCTGGGGAAAAACAGACTGAATGGGAATGGATTTGGAAATGCATGACGGCATGCAATAAAAAAGACTGAAATCTAAAAAAGAAGAGATTGCTTTCCCACCAGCCTCCCCTAAGATGCAGAAATTCTCTGAAAATCAGGCAGTGGGGTTGCTTGGGGGTGCAGTTCTGCTTGCACACACGCCATTGTTGTCTGTTTACTAGATTCAACCACAATCCCTCTCAAATCCCCAATTTTACACCGAGCCGTGGCGTTTTTATTGCCGATTTTAAAACTATCACGGCAAGTCGGCGGATATAATCTCTCTCCAAAATGATGTGCTTGGCAATTCCTGAACCTGAGGTTTTTTTCACCCTCCTTCGTGAAGTTTTGTTTGTTTGTTGAAGGAGTAAAGGAATACACCTCTTGGGAAGGAGGAAGGCGGATCTGGATCAGCTTCATAATTTTTGGAAGTAGAGATTTTCTGGTTTAATGAGAATAAGGTTGCCACCTGCCCTTCTTATCCAGCTCACAATTAAAAAACATGTTTGACTTTCTCTAATCCCTACAGCAGCTGGCAGCTTTTACAAGCATCGTCATATGAAACTCACCATTCATTTTAAACGTTGGTAATGTAAGTCTGTGAAAGGACAGAATTAGGGCTGTCAAATCGATTAATCGTGAGTAATCGCATCCAAAATGTTTGTGTTTGTGTGTGTATTTACTGTATATATTCATATAAATATACACAGTACACACACATATATTATGTAAACACAAACTTTTATTTTGGATGCGATTAATCACGATTAATCGTTTTGACAGCCCTAGACAGAATATATTCATTTACATCGTAAAAATGTTTTCTTTATTACCGTACATAACAAGAGTTATTTTCCACAGTTTAAAGATGTTTAACCTCTTTAGCGGCAGTCAAATGTCAGAAATAATTTTTCAGATTTCACAGGATCACTGCATCCGTTAAATGACTCACGAATCACAGTATCGATTCTGATTAGAATATGCATGCTAATTGTTAACATTTAGTGACCGCCAGTTTCTTTCACTTTTTTTGTTCTTTGTTTTTTGACACTGACCTTCAGGGAACCTTATGACCGTAAAAAGTTGACTGTATGCTAATTGTGAGCCAAAAAGCTGCAAAAATATGTTTTATGCATTACCCTTGCAGGCAATGAAAATATATGCAGAAATATTGTGAAATTATGCAGAAAAATATATATTTTCTCTGTCTTACTGTGTTAGATACAGCATTAGATATATAATATTAATGTAATGCCAATAAATTTTTTCCACTTTGCCCTTCAAGACTTTTCTGTTCAGATGTATGCATTCATTTTCATCACACGTTTAGCTGAAATTTGTTCGCACCAAAAAAGTTCGCACTTACCAGTCTGAAGTGTTACTTCATTTTCATGATGCAGTGTTTTAACTGCATTTTGTGTGACTGTAACATTTGAGACTCCAATAAAGCCTTATTTATATGGAAAAGAGAAGTATCTTGTGTTTTGTGCTCACAAGTTAATGTCTTAAACTGCCGATCTTGTTACTATGCTAATTAATAGTGTTTTCACTATATTTTGGATATTGATATCCATTGCAGAATTGCTGTCATACGGCTCGCTCACTGAATCGCTGGCCGTCTCAGTGATCCGCCGTAAAACAGTGATTCTGTCCTAATTCCCTTGCATATTAATGGTGGAGTTCCCTTTAAAATCTTAAATGATTCCCTTTGAGCTAAATTATTGACCTGTTTCCCTTACATTTGATAATAAGAATCCACTAACCTGTTGTATTTCAATTCGTTTTTTTCTTCCCATAATGCCATAGTTTAGAGTAAATGAGGTCTCCCTGGCTTCTTTCCTCACCATGTGGAGCCTGTTCACTGGTCTGGCTGTGAACACACACACATACACACTAACACGCCTCTGATGGGGGTAAATTATGTTGTAGCTAATGATTACGTTTTCTAGCGGGGGGCGTAGAGGATTGCCTGAGGGCCTCCACAGGAAGGCAAGGGTGAGATATGTTCCTTAGACACAAACTCTTGACTAAAGACTCAGATGGATTAGTCATTATAATTATAAATGTCCCTGTGACACATAACATATACTTTCTGGCAATCATCGCTTCAACACTTCCTGCCATTTCCCTGTGATGTGAATCAGTATGTGGTGAACATGAATTTGGGCACTAGCAGGGGTCTTGATCCACTAAACATTGGGAAACTGGTGATTCAATTACATGTAACATGATTACAGGGTCACAAGCTGGTATTTATCATCAAAACTGCTGCATAACACACCATGACTAATATGCTTCAGGTATTTTTTAGCATTCATGTGAATTTTCATAAATCAAAAATGTAAGTATATGCTTAATCTTAAAAAAAAAAAAAAGTTGTCATTTGGATTTAATGCATCAGTGCAGAATAAAAAAAATATTTATTTAAATAAATAAATAAATTTCACAGTTGATGACTTTTTTAAAGAAATCATTTTTTTATTCTTCTGATTTCTCTCTCAAACAAGTATCATTGATTAGAAGTGTCTCATGTCTGCAAATGTGCATGTGTCTCACCTTAGAGATGTAGATAGAGATCAATGTCTTGTGTGTCATTTGTCTGGTGGCTTCCCTCTTGTCTTGTGCTGCTACTCAACAGCACAGCCATCCATCACATCTCATGCGTTTATCATTATCCGACCAACCATCTGTCCCTGAGCTACTCCTGACAAGAGAGAGGGAAAGAATGAGAGAGAGATAAATGTCACAAGATCAAAGAGCGTTTGACTGGAGTCTCCTTACAGTTCCTTGATCATGTTTTGTATCAGATATAAGATCAAATTGAACTCGGACAAGCTTCAGTACGGGGGTCACGGGAGGCTTGTGCAGGACACAGTGTTTTTCACAGAGCCCATGCCTTTCAATGGTCGAGCCCAGTCATTTCTGGTAAGTTTCATTTCTATTACAACCTTCCACTCCTAAACTGTTGACAAAAATTGGTTGTAGTAGTGGGCAACACTCTGGGCTGGTCCATGATCTCAAGTTTACCCTTTAACAAAGCACTCGATCCATAGAAATCACATTATTATATTTTCGTCACCATATTTTTCCATCGCCCATTTTTTTCTCCACCACTTTATGAAATTACTTGTAACGGGGATGTATCTAATACAGAATAAGCATCTCCATTGTTTGAGGAGGAGTCTTCATTTTGTCTGTTATGGTGAGTGGCGATCTGACATTGGAATTTGTTATCTCAGACCCACGTTCAATCAATTGCTTTTCTATCCAGTCTAGTGAAACAACAAAACTAAATGAAAACAAATGTGCTCCTGAATGAGTAACTCAAAGCAAAAATGTACAGCTAGACAAATAATTCAACATGCAGTTGTGGATCAATGCATTTACCCCTCTATCCAAAAGTAACAGATGTAGAAATTAAATCATATATCCACTCGTTTGAGAATTGATTGCTTCTTTTAATCACTGTATTGTGAAAAGATTTGTTAACTACACATTGTTCTCATTGACTGACCTTGGTATCTGAGCCTGTGTTTGAAGGATTTGGGTTTGTACAGTATCTATCTTTTCAATGCGCTGCAATATGCAGTGAGCCACAGAAATCTTTGCTTATTTCATTTTAGCTTAAAGTAATGTCTGTGTAGTACTTCAAGGTTGTGTAAGTATGTGTGTGTTTGTGATGTACTTGCAGCTAAAAAAGGATCCTTGTGGTTTCTTGTGTCCAAAGCTTTGAATTAAAGCACACTGGGTGCGCTGTAAACAGAACCTTGATTCTGACCCTGAAATGCTACAGTTACATGTATAAAAACATGTTACCCGAACTAGCTCAAAACAGCAGTGGTTTTAAAGAGGTGAGCACAGTCATATTTCATTATGCAATAGTAAGCTTCAGAGAGTATGGCGTTTATTGAAAAATACAGCTTTAAAGTAGAGCAAGAGATTGAATAAATCATGATCTCATTTCAGCCTCATTACAGCTCGTTGAATTTTATGACAATCCACTTTATATAGTCTATGAAGTCTGAACTCTGAAGGTGAGCACTGCTGCCCTTCCTATAAATCAGCTGAAGATTTTAAAGTAATTTTTGCAGTGCAGCCCAAATGGCTTGTTTGAGGTGTATAGGCTCTTTAGGCAGTGTGAAGGTTCTTCGGTTATGCAAACATTCTTTTTGCTGTGTTAAGGTTGGTTTGGAGAGTTCTTTATGCAGTAATTGTATGTAATGCTGTTCAATTCCTTGTCTTAATGCCATGTAAAAGGTTCTTTATTCTATGTAAAGTTCTTTTATGGAGAGTGAAATTTGTAAAGTTCTACAAGTGTGTTGTGTAATTTACTATGCAATATAACATTTCTTCATGTAATGTGAAGATTCTTTATGCACTGTGTTGATTGTGCGGTGTAATTTTTCTTAATTCTGTGTTAAAGGGATAGTTCACCAATAATATAAATTATCCTATGATTTACTCACCCTCGAATAGTGTTTGTATCGTTTGGAAGCCACATCAGATCACAGAAGGAAGCATTTGATTGGTGTTGTGGAGTAAAAAGATTATAATGTTCTCTTTTGTTGGACAACAGGTTTAGAAATGTGAATACAAGGGAAGTTTAGCTTTAGGCACTTTAATTTAAGCATGTTTAGCTTAGTTAACGGTGCATGGCACCGAAATCTGCGTTCTGATTCGGTTCTAGTACTTACCGGTTACATAGGTACCGTATTGGCCATATTGGTACCGGGTTTCGGTACCCAACCCTACCCTCGAACCAAGATAGGTGCACATGACTTTCTTCTTTCAGGCAAAATCTGAGTTATATTAAAACTGCAGTCCGTAAGTTTTGCCTCTTTGTCGCCATCTCTGTTTGAAACCTGCAATTGCAGTTATTTGTGGAATTATTATCTTTACATGGGTTGTGCATCGGCACGGCTCAGGCCCAGATTGGATCAGCACCGGGAGGAATCCAGTCTGTTTTTTTTTTTTGGTCGCGAGGGCCGGTGTTGTCATGCAACTGGGTTGAAATATGGATGCTGTTCTGCCTGCACTCACAGCAGACCCACACTTTTTTATTTATTATTTTCTCTCAGCCCCACTCGCAGAGGGCTGCCAACCGTTCCGTAGCATCAAAGAAGCGTCTTGTCTACAGAACGCAGTTTTTCCTGTATTCGCAGGCATACGCTGTATGCAGAATGCGCACTACGGGGGAGTTAGGGGGAGCTCGGCTCCCCTTAATAAGACATGGGCTCCCCAGAAAATGTGATTTGTGAAATTTTGGGGGGTCTCAAAAATATTGACAATGTGTTATTTTGACGTGCAATTCAGTTTTGTGTAATGTGATCATCGTGGATTATTATGTGAAAAATTGCAAAAATATAATTAATTCATGCATGACGGCGATTTAAACCTAATTCACTTCAATAAAGATAACTATACATGCTATTCTTGTCATGAGCATCAAGGTGTGGGGGCGCTGCGGTGCAAATTTCACTCATGTTTAGTACATGTAAACTCAAAGACAGCCTGATGCTTTGTTTATAGACTATTTGTGGGTAGCTGTTTGTTGTTTCACCTATCAATTCGTGTCGATAAAGTATAATAGGGTAAATCCTGTATAGTGATTTATCCTATATAGCGCCCAAAGTATAATAGGGTAAATCCTGGATAGTGATTTATCCTATATAGCGCTTGCATAAAGCAAGTAGTGCATACACTTGTAGCTGTTATGTATCTTTGTAAGTCATTGTAAGCCCGCGCGCAAGCGCACGAACACCCCCGTTATAAAAAAAAACAAAAACAGGTGGGCTCCCCCAAAGTCCACGGTATAGTTCGAACACTGGCTGTATGACCACCAGACCATATGAAATTCTCAATTGATAACTAATCATTCTTTTTGCACAAATCATTGTTTTATTTATGAACGTAGCTGTTTGATGGGAGGCTTTAAGACCAAGCGAAATCCTGCCAGCTGCTCCCGCTTCACAGCGAACGGGACTCGCGCTAATGGCAATTTCCTTTCACTATCCGCGTTTTGATTTTGCCAAATCAGTTTGGGCGAATGCAAACAACTTATTGATCATGAGCCCAACATCCAGCAAGACAAGAAAACATTCAATCTACCTGAGGCAAGACGTATTTCGCTATTGTAAGTTTATGCTGTTAAATTAAGAAATAAAACATTTTTTTAAATTGACTTCCAGCATATTCTTAAACTTGGACCTTGTTATTGAAGTACAAATGTAAAATTTTTAATTGGAAAAATATGCAGTTTCATTCATTCATAGGCTATAATAGTTGCAATTGTGCAATTGTTTAAAAATGCTTTATTGACTGACGTTTCATAGACGTTCAGTTATGCTTTCAAATTTCATGCCATTTGTAGGCTATGTAGCCCATGTAATTTCACAGTATTTAAAATTACTACACTAGGCCTTATTGTGCAGTCACAATTCTATAATGCTACAATTTGCTCAGGCCGATGACATTTTTTTGTATGACATTAGGCCTAAAATTATTTTGGATACTGCAAAATACAGTGCATTACAGTACAAATATTTTGAGTGTCCTTTATTCTGTCCCTTATTTCCTTTAAAAAAAATTGCAACTGTCCCTCATTTTCCATTTCTGAAGTTAAGATTTTTACATCAAAACGAAAGCTCTAGAAAAATACAATGAATTACAAGGCTGTAGAGAACAGTGCACTATTGCAGACTTTATTTACTGAAGTTTTAATTACATGATTTTAATATAGTCAGTCGTGAACTAAATTGGGCCGGTCTATGGCATGAACCTCCAGAGCTGAAAATGAGTCCCACTCCGGCCCTGGCACGGCTCCTCAGCACAGATGAATCTAATGTTTTGAGGTGTATGTGTGGCCACCCGACTGAGCCTAGTTTCTCCCAAGGTTTTTTCTCCATTCTGTCACCGATGGAATTTTGGTTCCTTGCCGCTGTCGCCTCTGGCTTGCTTAGATGGGGATACTTAATTTCCAGGGATATCGTCGACTTGATTGCACAGATACTATTAAACTGAACTGAGCTGGATGATGGCATCACTGAATTCATTGATGAACTGCCTTTAACTGAAAATTGAGTGTTTACTATTGTCCTTTTGCATTATTGACACACTATTTTACTATTTAATACTGTAATGCTGCTTTGACACAGTCTGTATTGTTAAAAGCGCTATATAAATAAAGGTGACTTGACTTGATGTGATGTAATGACGCAAAGACGCAAAGCATGACAAAAACCTACCAGTACCGCTTAAATTAGAAAATATTTTTACAAGCTTACCGTTGTGAATCGGGCTAAGGTAAGGAGATAGTTTTGAACACTGGCTGGTTATGTACTTGATTTATGAATTTATGAATTTGACCATGTTTAACAATTTTTTAAGTTACGGACTGCTCACGGTCTGTCCTGGCTCTTCCAAGCTTTATAATAGCAGTGAATGGGGTTTAAGATTTTGAAGCCCAGAAAATCCATCCATCATAAAAAGTGCTCCACACAGCTCCAGGGGGTTAATAGTGGCCTTCTGAAGTCAATTGATGCATTTGTGTAAGAAAAATATCAATTTTTAAAACTTTATAAACCATAATCTCTAGCTTCTGCTTTCATGTGAAGTTCCATTATGCAGAGTAAAGTTTCTTTGCAGAGTTCATAACATACAAGTTTGCAATGTAAGGTTGTTTGTGTAAAGATTCTTTGTGTGCATTTTAAAGGTTCCTCTTAGTGTAAAGTATCCAAGTGCCCATGTGAAGTTTCATCATGCAGTGTAAAGGCACTTTGTGCTGTTTTCTTAGTCCAGTGTAAAAGATACTTGTGCAGTTTGAAGGTTCAGATGTTGTTTGTGTAGTGTGAAGGTTTAAAGGTTCTAAATTCAGTGTATCTTTGTGCAGTGTAAGGTTTTTGTGCCTTTTTAAGGTTTACTAATGT